TACAGCAGGATAAGAAAGCACATTTAGTGACAGCCCTCGGGGCAGGCTGGGACCTGCACCCTGTCACTGTGGCTGTTTGCTCTTTCCCCACAGCCGTGTTGTCCTCCAGGAAGTGCTGGACACCGACCTCAGCAACGAGGCTTTTCCCTTCTCCACGCACAAGCTCGTCATGGCCGCAGGGTGCACGGTAGGATGGGGATGGCCCTCGAGCTGCCCAGGAGCTCTGTTCAGTGGGTGACCGCCACCAGCCGGAGCATCCTGCTGGGGAGCTGCCTGCCTCCGCAGGGCTCGGTGGTCAACCACGAGGTTTTGTTGAGTGTTTTGGTTGGAAAAGGCCAAAAGCCATGGTGGGAGCAGGGCTTTCCCCCCAGTTGCCCCCCTGGTGCCAGCTGCTCCCCCAGCCACCCCGTAGTGTCATAGCGCAGGCTGAGCTCAGGGACACAGTGACTTACGGCTTTGCAGTGATGTCGGAGGAACAAGAGACTCGTCCCCTAGATTCGAGTCAGCACTGGTGATAGAGAGATTTCTCTGCCACTCTAGAAACCTTCTTCATAAAAACACAGGGCCGATGTAAATTGAAGCACGTCAGGTACTGGCGGGGGGGGGCGGGCCGCACGCCACTCTAGAACCCTTCTTCATAAAAGCACAGGGCCGATGTAAATTGAAGCACGTCAGGTACGGGCGGTGAGGGCTGGGCAGCCCATGAAGCTGCTGTATTTGATCACAGGAGAAGTCTGACAGCCTTAAGCTTCCTGTACAAGCACAGATCATCCTGCATTTGCCCAGACTTCAGGCTCATGTCTGTGGTTATGCAAGAAAAGCACAGAAATGCTAATGCTCCATGCTGACACCTCGGGCTAAGCCCCTCGGTGCTAGAGCAAGGGGATGGAAGTTCTTTGGGCTGATGGTGAAAAGCAGCACTGCTGCTGGCTCGCGAGCCTGGTGAGACTCAGGGGGGGGGGGGGTGCTGTCTCCTGCCCGATGACCCATCGCTTGGGAGGCAGTGCCAGTGCTGTGTTCTGCAGGCAGAGGTGAGCTTGTGCTGCCTGCGCTGCCTGCAGTGCTGCCTGCAGAGCACAAGGCAGGCATGTGCACCCTGTCCTGAGCACGACAGTCCCCGCAAGCCGTGGGAGATGCACCTTGGCCAGGCTGCAGCCCAGCACCTCTGCCAGGACCCGCAGCCATGGGTTTAGCACATTGCGTGGCATTGCTCAGAGGTGTTGAGGGAGGAAGGCTCAGCCTAAAGTGTTGGCTGTATTGTGTTGCAGGGAGGTGGATCAGTCCCCAGGGTTGCAGTGAGGTTTTGTGGTGCTCTCAGGTTGATTGGACTCCTCCATCCTGCCTGGTGTGGAGCGGCAAGAAAAGCACCTTAAATCTCAACCCTGCCTTGCCCAGTGTGGTCTGAAGTTATCCCTGGGAAAGGGGGTGATGGCAGCTCTCTGGGGAGTTTTGTCACCTGTGAAGGCTCTGATGTAGCCTCTTGGAAGCACCCTGAGCAGAAGAGTTGGTGACTGCGAAGGGATGTTTTGTCAAAGGAGAAACATTGTGGAGAAAACCTGCTGCTGGCAGGTTTTGGCACCGGGGCAATGCTGCGGGAAGCTTTGCCCGAGCAGCTCTGCCTTGGTTTCTTACTGATGTTCACCACGTAGGAAATAATCCTTCCACTGCAAGAACACCCCTTTGGAAGAGCAGTTGGTTGTAACCCATCCTTCCCATGGGATGTCCGGGCAGCCGTGGTGCCAGGGCTCTCCTGATGGAGGGGCCGGCTGCAGGAGGGACTGTGCCTGGCTCCCTGGCTCTCAGCTGGCGTCTGATGGGGAGGCGGGGGGGTGAGGGTGCAGAGGTCAGTCCTGTCCAAGGCAGTGGCAAGCGGGGGCTGGAGGCAGGCTGGGTATTACTGAAATAGGGTTAAGCCGCATGCGGCCACTTTTCATTCAGAATTAAAGTGGCTTTAATTCGAATGCAGCTGGCTGCTCAAGAGAGTGCTGCTAAATCAAATTAAGGCTTCTTGATTTGTGAGCAGGAGCCTAGTGAGGATTTAGAGTGGTTTAACTAAGACACAGGTTTTGCCCAAGTCACATTAATCCTCCAAACCATCCCCATCAGTGTGCCCTGTGCTCCAGGTGCCAAAACCCCACAGTGTGACCAGTGTCACCCAATCCACTGTTGCAGGTTGTCCAACGCGTCACATTTTAGCCTCCACCAGTGAGTCGTAACTCTCCCCATGTCCTCCCCTGTCATGCCTGTGGCAAGCTGGTAACATCTCATAATAACCTGCTGACTCCCAGGGAAAGGTGTATAAATGTTCCCGTTTCAAGAGCGTGATCAGTTTATTTGCATTTCACTTTAAGTTTATAAAAACTAATCCAGCTAGAACTCGCTGTAGACATCTTGTGGATGCGTTAGAGTGTAAATGCCCTGACTGTCAGGAGAACAGCCCCAGGGGTGTGTGAGGGCTCTGGGCTGGGGGGTCCCTGCCTGCTGCTGGGCCACCCTTCGGGAGGTCTCCTGCAGCCCCCACTGCACAATGAGCACAGGGGAATCCATCCCACACGGACGCTGGAGGGTTCTCAGACAGTGGGCTGACGCCTTCGTGATATTATTGCTTTCCAGAGGCATTAAACCGAACCCAGCATCTTTAAAAAGTTATCACTGAGATTTTCATGCATTAACTCAGTAGTGGAACAAAATCAGCTGGAGTGAAAGGAGAGCTCCAGCAGAGCTAATGACTCGGGAAATTACCGACTGGTTTGTGAGTTTATATATAGCGACTCTCATTGTATTGAGCAGCAGCGAAAGGTCCCCGTTTGAATTTCACTGCTGGATACAGGGTGAAGTTCAGGTTTTCATTTTCTAGATACTTAAAATGCTTTTGAATTGCTGCTCTAAAGGCCAGGAATTGATGCTATTGCATAGCTCCGCTTGAAATCTAACAGAAAAACCTGTTCCCAGGGGAAT